CTCTCTCTCTCTCTCTCTCTCTGCCATTTCATTTGTAAAATTAATTTAAGATTAAGTTTTTAACTTTTTTTTTTTTATTTTTTTTTTTTTTTTGTCAATTTTTCCTTTATTACCTAATATATATTCTGATGGTAACTGATAAAAAATGGTTAATAACTATTACTTTTTCACATTTATTTGATGGATGTTGTATAACATGGGCATTCAGCTTCAAGCCAGACTTCTAGATAGATAGATTTTAATTTTACCAACTACCAGCTGAAAACAATATTGAAATATATTTATAGATACACTAACAAAATGAGAAGCAAGTCACATATGCAATTAATGACTCGACAACATCAAACAGCTGTAAACATAATTAGCCATTGCACAAATGTCATCCGTATTGTTAAAGAAAGTCATAATGCTTGATAAGTCCAATCTGTTGTAGTCACATCTTCACAGTTTCGTTTTTTTAATCAACTACAGATCACATGTTCTTCCGTCTGAACATAATGTTCATTAGTTCCACATTTACAAAGTTTTGTATTTCTTGGACTGCGTGACTGTCTCCCCGTTTCTATAGCTAAACTATGGGCACTCAGCCGCAACCAAGAACAGGCTATCCTGTCTTGTTCACTGAGATTGTTTAATGAGTACGTATCATGTGTAGTCAGATTAGGATTCACCTTTGAATATGTTAGTGATTTAGTTCTAGTTGAATTTCTAATTCAATTTTTTATTATGGCTATATTTGCCTGTATAATGTTGTTAGAATTAAGCACTTCAGTCAGATACTGGGCTTCCCTGGTACCGCTGTCCCTATACATCTGTCACACGTGCATAAAAGGGTCATCTGCCACACCAGATTGTGAATGAGGATCTTTGTCATATATGAATCTGCGCAGCACATACCCTTGCTCTCAGTTCAGATATGACTAGTTCAGCTAGAATTATGTTATTAGGAGTGTATGATGTTCAGTAATGTTTTGATAATTGCGAAGTAAGATGACTATGCTGCCTTAAAACTTGCATAGCCAGGACTGGCACCTATACTGAACAGAAGACATCAATGTTGCTTCCATAACTTTTTTCTTTATAGCAAATGGGAAGTCAGCATTTTTAGAAATAAAAGACGCAAACTTTAAAAGTTGAGATTGCTTTGAAATAATTTGTTTAAATGCTTCCACCCAACCATCTATCTGACTAAATATTACTTGTAGATATGTATATGAGGTTAGGATACTTCTGATTATTCCTTATAATGCACATGCAGCAGAACTTGAGATATCTTATCAATCTGCGTTTTGACTGACTTGAGATCTGGCTTTTCTGTCAAGCTTGACAGTAAACTGTCAACAAGCAAAGTAACCAAACTCCGCTTAATATGTAACAATGGCAGTGCTAACATAAAGAAAAATATATTTTACAACCCATAAAACATAAGAAAAGGTATATTACAAACTCTGGGTCCTTTTAATTGTTGATGATGAAACTCTAGTTATGGCGTTTTGTCAGCAATTTTGAAAATCTTCATTTTACCAACCTAGTTGTCACATGTGTGTTTAGCCTCATTTACTGCCATAGAAAACGTTTACTAATCAAAAATGTGTGCTTCAATCAACCCTTTTCAATAGAGGTAAATAGATGCATATAGTTACTATATGTATTACACATGCTTCGTATGCGTTTTCAAAAATAATGAAATTACCAACCTAAAGAATGATCATAGCTCAAATTTCTCATCAGAAATTAACTTTTTGGTGCATTTTACCTCTAACATCACCTGTTGCTTGATAGATTTTTACTATGAACTACACTTAGCAAATTTCCAAGCTCTTATATTTACATATTTCATTTTGAACTTGGATAGGAAGTCCTATTTTCCATAGCTTACTGCAACCTTGGATTTGACCTTTCACTTTTCCCCATGATTTTGTCATAAAGTAATTTTCTACAAAAAATTGAGAACCTTTATTTACTGCATTTAGTAGGGCTTGTCAAGCACAACACTGGAAGTGGTGTCCCCCCTTATTATTATTTTTTTTTTTTTTGGGGGGGGGGGGGTTATATTCAAATGCAATTATTCCAGCTAGTGGTACAATACCCAGAGGCGATATTGCCTCTCTGATCCTCTACTTACATAGTTTCAAGATGAAAATCCCACTGAAAATCCCTTATAGCTTTGGGGGTTAAGCCAGATGAGATTTGCTGAAGAGCACCTTGGTTTGTTTGGTAAGTAACAAGCAAATGAGGATTGCCATATTACTGTAAAGATTTCACGGATGTCAGCAAGCTTCCTGTGCTGTATGTCAATTCACAGTTAATTATTGTCTATAATCAGCTGTGAAGACATGTTTGGTTTGTTTATTTCATCAGTGAAATCGTTGGTGTAGGAAATTTATATTCTTTAAATGTAAGGAGCCTGTTGTTAAGAAAAAAAAAGAAAGAAAAAAACTCTTCCCTAGGGAAGTTGCATCCCTTTTAAAACAATTCATGATTAACCTTTATCAGGGGTTGTAACAGGTACTTTCTCATACCTTTCCATACCTTTATCATCACCATCATCATCATTATTATCATCATCATCATCATAATTATTATATAATTGACAAAATTAAATAGCTGAATTCAAAAATATAATTGATTTGAAAAGTGTCATGAGAAAGGAAATACAGAAAAGTAGAAGACTGACCACAACACATCACTTAATATTATGGGTACTGTCAGAGTTTTAAAAAAACTACCGGCTTTAAGTACATGTTTTGGATAATAAATGAATCTTCAGTATTCACTGACTAAATTCCTTTGCATTTACACAGATGTCTTTTTGTCATTACAATGACATCATTATTGCAATTTCAGGAAAAATTATGCATAATTGGTTTATCATATTTCTCCTTTACAAGAGCACCCACAACCAGTGTTTCTATGCCAATTTGATGACACCATTGAGTACTTTAAAATCCTGCCAGCAATTTTTCTTAAAAATGTCAAAGCAATGGCTTTTTGTGATGAGTCACTGTAATAAAGGGCTCTTAACTCCATGACAAAAACATTTAAACCAAAATGATGGCATGGGATTGAAACCCATACACTTGTTGTCACCTTTGCCAATTTTTGTGATAAGATCCTGTTCAGGGATGAAGCTATACCCCATACCAAATGGTATCTCACCTCAAAATAGAAAGACTTCAAAATGATGATATGCGCTCAGAGGTGCTTTAAGCTTATTCTTAGAAATGCAAAAGATGAACAAGGAGATTTCCTTGTTTTGAATCAGCAAAGAGCATTATTGAATAATTAGATGCAACACTAAAACCTAATTTGGGTATTTTGATGATCATAAACCCAGTTAGTATCAGTAAGCTCCTTTCCAGGCATAGTATGCAGTCTGGACTTACTGACAGAAAAATTGCATAATATACACAGGCCATGGACTGTGAAATCAGTGTTATTATGAATAGTGATATCAAAATCTCTGAGAATAATTTGTTTTGTCAATCTAAATTATCATTATTGTCTCCTAGTCTGTCAAAGACAGAAAGCAAGAAAACGAGCATAGAGCAATGCTTTTTGAAATTTGGTCAATCAAATTTGCTTTCATTAGAATGCCACACTAATAAATATTATTACTCTCATTGCAATTACAAAGTGCAATGCACATAAAAATTTTATAAATTAATCATAGTGTTCAAGTTATTATTACCCTGAGCGTAAGAGCAACATAAAAGCTAGCTTGCTAAATATACCTTGTGGTAGAGTCGCTTTTACTAACTCTGAAGACCAGCAGCCATGAAAGTTTTCCATCAATCAAATAGAACTGCTCCGCAGTGAAAATGCAGTTGAATGTCATCAGACCAAAATAAAACGTAAAACAAATTTAATTCTGCTTTATTTAATTTTATTTGCTGTATTTAAGATGTAAAGTGAAAAAATAAATAATATTCTTAGGAAAGAAAAGATATATCCAATGTTTTTGTATTTTTTGCTTATCAAAGAACATTAAGTCCTGAGATATACATGTGCACAATACATGTGCTTGCCGTGTGCCAAATTTGACAGCTACACTGTATGCCCGATACCACTAGAAGGGCTGCGCAATGGCTACACGAAAATAAGTTTTTACAGCAGAATGTTGCTTGTTTTGTGGCACTGACCTTGGACTGCAAGATATTTTCATTTCAAACGTCTAACTCCGCGTAAGGCACTTAAATTGCTTCTTGTCTCGCCTGCATGAGACTTCAGCGCAAGGCGGGAAAGGCTGCTCCAGGCGGCCAAACCTGTGACGTATGAGACTTATGACTTCCAAATATGGATCCAGGCGGACACAGCTGTGACGTGTGACTTCCAAATATGGAAGCGCCCCAGGCAGAATTTTGAAGAAGAACGCCCCCGAGTTGCCACTGTTCGCTAGAGTCTGGTATTGCAACTATGGGTTA